GACAATTTAATTTTTATCATGACATTATGGAAAATAATGAACTTTATCACAATATTCTAATTTTATGACCAGCACCTGTATATAAATGACTCACCCTGTCATCGGTCGCTGCAGAGAAACGGAGATGAACGGATGAACCGCTTAAAGCTGCCATGTTTTCCGAACCGCTGCCAGGTTGTGGGGCTGAACGTCCAGCAGATGATTTCATCCGAAACCTTTAACTTTACAGCACAGAATCAGTCTGAGGTTTTACCAAACCAAACTAAATCTTCTTATCAAAGTAAAACTTTGATCAGATTTTAAAGCATTTTATTTTTGGAGATCAGAAGTGATGATGTTCAGTATTTTTTGGATTATACTTTAGTTTGGCCATAACAGAAGATGATGCCTGCAACCTTCTCAATCTGAGGCTTTTGCTGAAATGTGGATTCAGTTTTATATTTTCCATAAAATCAGATTTTTGACTTCCAGCTGTGGAGTTTTCACTGAGCCCATGTGTTGCATAAATGCATAGAAATAAAATATATTGCTGAACAGAATAGAAATCGTTAAAGATGAATGTTTATTGTGACTAAATCTAATTAAACAATTAGAGCCCAGCAAAGTTTGAGTGGAGGTTTATCTGTTTTGATGACCAGCAACACGTTGAGATACTTTTAATATTTTTATTTACTTTATTTAATGCTAGCGTGAGAAAGGCTAATGTTTTATTATCAATGAAATCTTTGTATTAGTAAATGTAATAAAATAGCCATATGTTTGCCATTTTTGGTTGAAACCATTTTTATATATTATTGCTGTTTTGATGGAGCCATGAGGGTCACGTCGGAATTCCAGCCAATCAGTCGCCGGGACCCACGTGGGGCCTCTGGCCCCGGCGCCACACCTGGACTGGGTTGGAATCCCCGCAGCTGGTACCATGGTGACAAGGGCGGCCTCTGATTGGTCGGCTCGGTGGGACATTGATACTTTCTCACCGAGAGACTCGATGGTGATTTAAAACTAAACCCGAGCAGGCTGGATGATTCCCGCCATGTCCGAACCGCGGCAGCCCAAATGCTCCCGGTGCCGGCACCACGGCTTCATCATCCGGAAGAAGGGCCACAGCAGGTGCTGCCCGTTCTCCGGCTGTGAGTGCTGGAAGTGCGGCCTGATCACCCGGCGGACCCAGGTCAATGCGCTCCAGCGGAACCTGAGCAGAAGCCGAGATCGGCCCCGGAACCCGAAGCCGCGGGCCGGATGCAGGGCGGCGGGAGACCCCGCTGCTGCCGCCGGGACCCGGGACCCGGACGGTTTGGGTCCAGATGTCCGGAACCAGCGGCCGGACCCGCGAGGAGAACCCGGTTCCGGACCGGACGGCAGAGATGTTCCGACCTGTAAGAACTTCCAACACGATATTCAGTTAAAAACTTTTTTAAACAATCTCCCGGTTTTTTCTGCACATTTGAGCTAAAAAACAAACATTTAATTTTAGTCTAAAAACCTGACTGTATGTTTCAATAAAAGAGAAACCACTGGGAATAAAAGTCACTCCATTTATTAGCTAAATATTAAATATAAAGTAGAATCAGTTTAGTGAGTCATGAAAAATATGAGCATAAAATTAATTAAAATATGAATTTCTGCTAAATGCAGGAAGATTAAAATATTTAGGAGTTGATATTTTTCAGCTGAAGTGACGATCAAACGGCTTTCAGTTCAACTTAAATTCTGCTGGATAATAATTCATCATTTTGGTGATTTTTTTGGGATAAAACACGAGAGAATGTTTATTAATTGAATTTGTTTTCAATATTTGCCAACAGAATTATTAACTAGCGCTTTACAGAAATTTCTGACAACCGAAATTATCAGTGGATTAAATAATGAAATAAATATTGTTTCCATATTTTATTTTTAATAAGAATTAATAAAAGTCCTAACATGAGGATCATTTCCTCCTCCTGCCAGCTCTTCCTCCTCCTCCTCTTCCTCAGCTCCTCTCCCCCCTGTCCCGCTCCTCCTTGGCTCCGCCCCCTGACCTCCTGCTCCACCTGCCGTTCCTACCTGCGCTCCCCCCCGGCCTGTATGATGACCTCTGCAGGCCGCTGATGATCCCGCACTTCCTGTCATACCCCGCCCCGCCAGCAGAGGTCAGGCTGCAGCGCTCTGCTCGCTCTGCTCAGCTGTCGGGCTCAGCTCACCTGCTGCTTCCTGTCTCCTCTTCTTTTCAGGACTGCAGGCTGGTCTTCCTCCCGCTCCACCCTGCTCCTGAAGCGCCCCCTGCAGGCTGCGGGTCCAACAGCAGAGCCTGAAGGATCAGCGGCTTCTGTCCATCACTTCCTGTTCCAGTTCCAGTTCAAAGCTTCTTGTTGTCGCTGTTTGGTTCAGAGGGGGTTTAACTGAAAGTTTGTTACCTGAAATAAAGTGCAGAGCTGTGGCTCCATGAACCCTGCTGCAGCTCATGACCACAATCCGCTCCGTTTGGTTTCTGGCTCTCAGAACCGAATCTGGGCCAGAGCTGGTGTTATTCCTGCTGGCATTCATGTTACTGCATAGAGTGACCCAGAACCACGTTCTGGTTCTGGATGGTTCTGATCAGTGGTTCAGAACCTCATTTAGATCCTGTGAGGAGGAAACAGGAATCTGTAGTTTTTTCGTTTTAATGATTTGATGGGTAGGGTTAAGGTTAGGTGTTTCATAGGTCCGTCCAGCAGGGGGTGCAGTAGCACCGTGTTTCATTCAGTCTGCACTTCCCAACTGGACCCAGAGGTCCTGCAGAACCTCTGGTTCTGGCCCAGTCCATCAGAGAACATCTAGCATCTATTTCTGTGTTTTTACGTAATAAACATTAAAATGTAAACCTGACTTCCTGTGGATGAAAATTTGTGACATTAAATAATAAAATGTTTTCATAGCAGCAGCATGTCGGTTGCAGCTGCAGAGAGAGAGGCTGAGTTTGGACCGGAACCAATGGGGCGCCCGGGTTCACAGCGCCTTCCAGAGGATGATCCGGTTCTGATCTGGGGTCTGGTCGTTTTCCTGTTGCAGAATGATGCTGAGGAAGTTCAGCTCAAAATTTTCAAACTTTAATGGTTCTGCACCACCAGGCCATGTGGCTGCAGCCCACAGCATCATCCCTCCCCTGCCGTGCTTCCCAGCAGGTAACAGCTGTTCTAGCTGATGTGTCTAACCTCGGTCCAGTGGCCATCTTGTTTCTAGAGAGAAGATGCTTTCTCCTTCAGCCCTTCCAAGCAGCCATGCTGGTTCAGTGTCATCATGACCTTTGACCTGTTTAGGGTCGCAGTTCATGGCACTGACTCAGCTCTGCTTTGTGCTCAGTTCTGGTATTTGTCACCAGGGTGTGACCCGCAGAGATCTGCTCCTCCAGTGACCTTTGACATGACAGAACCGCTGCTGTAAACTGGGAAACCTTTTGTAGCAGCAGATTACTGTAAAAACATAAACATTAGCATGCTAACCCCTCAGCTCGAATGTTTTTCATATTTCCCATCAGCCATTGGACATTTTTCAAGATGGCCACCATTTTTGAGCCAATTATTGTTATAAAATGTTCCCCTTTTTTAAGACTTGGGTGAACTTTCTGTCACATCAAAGGTCCTGGTTCTGACCCAGAAAAGATCAGGAGAAGGATTGAGTCCTAAAACATCATCATACATTCTGGGTGTCATTGCGTGTCAGTCACCCATCCTCCTTCAACGTGGACCGACTCCTGGTTGAGGACCGTCTCCAGGAGTGGGACCGACTCCAGGTGTGGGACCGACTCCAGGTGTGGGACTGACCCCAGGTGTGGGACCGACTCCTGGTTGAGGACCGACTCCAGGTGTGGGACTGACCCCAGGTGTGGGACCGTCTCCAGGTGTGGGACCGTCTCCAGGTGTGGGACCGTCTCCAGTTTGAGGATCGCCTCCTGGTTGAGGACCGTCTCTGGACGTCTCCAGTCCATTACCAAATGACAGAGGGACACAGTTCCATATCTGGGGACATGTAGATGAATGTTTTGTGTTTGTAGAGAGAGAGGAAGCCCCAGAGAAACTCCTGCATGCAGAAAGAGTCCAGGCGTGGATTCAAACCCGGATCTGTGTGCTGCAGGTTTAACATCGGTCATTGTGCTGCAGTCACAGTCTTTGGTTTCGAGGAAAGCTGCGGCGGATCAGAGCCGCTTCCAGAGAATCAGCTGCTTCTTTTAGATTATGTAATGGGACAGAAGCTTCCTGGTTCTGCGTCCAGAGAACATTATAATTATTAGGCTGAAATCTAATGTAACTGGGTCTATATTAATAGTTGTATATTTCCACAAAATGTGTTCTTTCATGTATTTGTCTGCTTCTACTTGACTGCTGTTGTGTCCTCTGTGTCTACTATAAGGGGTTTGGTCCTCCAACTCTGCCTTATTTTCTTCTTCTTTTGTTCAGGGTCCTCCAGGACTATTATAAATATTAAGTTATTAATTTCCTCTTCCCTTTTGTTATTCGTTCCACTGGGGAGAGGCAAGTTTCATAATCTATTGTAATCCTTTCATTTATATAGTTCAAATGTTTATTTTTCCTTCTGTATTAATAAGTGTTTGGATATTTTTATTTGAGTTGCTATTACACCTTTATATCATTTGATGCATGCTAACTATTATTTTGTATAGATCGGGTTGGAGAACTGGAGCACATGCTAGGTGCTAATGCTAATATCTCCTGACTGACAGAGTAAATAAACGGAGAAGCCTCCAAACCCAGACTTGATGTCTTGTGGTTTGTCTGATCGCCACACAAAACACACGAAGCAGAAATCCACCGGTCACACTAACAGTACAGATTCAGCAGAAGATACTGTTAGATTTCCACCCGGACCGGGTTGGGTCGGTAACAACTGAATGCTGCTGAGATCCAATCAGAGGGTTCCAGGTGAGGAAATGTTCAGCAGCTGCTTCACGCTGCGGCAGGAACTGCCTCAGGGTTCAAGAACCACTAAGCCGCTCCAGACCTGAACTGGACCCGAACCGGGTCGTAGCTCTGTTGGGTTTGGGTCATGGTTCTGCTCATGGAGCCACCGGTAGCAGTAGCGTACCTGCAGGCTTTGTTCCCCTCCACCGCCGTGCCTTACAGCTGTTGCTGACCCGGTTCTGCTCTATCAGGTGCGGTTCTGTTAAGTCAGTCTCTGTGGTTTTGCTGAAGGATGACCTTTGACCCGTCGGTCTGCCCAGCGATGCTTTATGGTTCTGCTTGCAGCAACAGCTCGTGTCTCGCCTCTCAACCTGCTTTCCTGTTGACTCTCAGATGAGAGACAAAAAAAACCTTAAAAAAATAAACGACTGAGAATTGAACCTGTGACGGTTTGGCTGAAGGCCGCGCCGCGCCGCGCCCTCAGCCTGTTTTATCTCTTAGACATGTGTCTTTGTCTGTGCAGAGCAGCAACAGAGTTGCACATCAGAAGCACCAGACTGCAGCCTGAGTTGCGTAACCGTTTTATCACCAGATCCCTGTCAGTGAGTCTCTGCCAGCGAAACCGCTGCCAGAACCTTTGTGTGCAGAGGGTGTGTCTGATATAACAGCAGCGAGGGGAAACCGGCCCAACGCACAGCAGGAATGCAAAACAAGCCACGTTGCTTCAGGACATGTTGCTCCAAGTAAACCTCTGGATTATCGTAGCGTTTGGTGGCTGGAGAGTTTTCTAGCAGCAGAAGTAACTGCTGGAACCCATGTTGGGTTCTGACTCGACGGACCCGTTCAGGTCCAGCATGCAGCAGTTAGAGACCTGCTGACAGACGTCTGGTCCAGGAATCTGCTGTTCCCTGCGGTGCTGTGTGGTGACAGCTTCCTGTTTCATCACGCCTTGATGAGACAGCAGCAGTTTGCATTTCTTCTAGTAGCAGAGATGTGGAGGAGAGGGTGCTGCTGCAGGGCATGGCCTAGTTCAAACCTTTCAACTTCAATGCTTCCAGGGAACAGCCGATCGGGGCGCGGTGCAGGAATGTTAACTAAAAACATTCCTGACTGGGACCCTCGGCTTCAGGAAGAGCAGAGCAATGAGCCGGACTGTGGGAAAACATCCTCCTCCAGGAAGAGACGCCTGCCAGGGAAAGAGATCACATTTTGTTCTTAGGATCTTCAAACACATTTTAAGATCTGACAAAGAGCTGTTTTCTAAAAATGAAATGATGTAAACGGATAGAACCTGACAGCAACCAGGAGGAACCAGGAGGAACCTGGTTCCCCCTGGTTCCTTCTGGTTCCTCCTGGTTCCTTCTGGTTCCTCCTGGTTCCTCCTGGTTCCTCCTGGTTCCTTCTGGTTCCTTCTGGTTCCTTCTGGTTCCTCCTGGTTCCTTCTGGTTCCTTCTGGTTCCTCCTGGTTCCTTCTGGTTCCTTCTGGTTCCTTCAGACTGATTTTGTTGCTCATCTCTCCATGTTGTTGCATAATCAGCATTCTTGGTCTCACTGAATAAACTGACTGGGTCTGTTGCAACATGCAGTTTAAAATGCGACAGGTCTTCCTCCATCCCCCCTCCTCGTCTTGCAGGGGGGGGGGGGAAAAAACCAACCCTGATTCTAGTGGGGATGGTGGGTGGTCTTGGGTCGGTGGGCTGCTGCCTCTGTCATGATCTCAGCTCCACCTTGACTGTGCTGATTGCTCATTACCCTCACCTGTTCTGTGCTGCGCCCTCTTTAAGCAGCTGCTCCTGTTGCTCCAGTCACAGCTTTCAAGCCTTGTCTCATGTTTCAAAGTTTTCTGGTTTTCTGATCCTGCCTGTTTTTGACCACAGATTTTGCCTTGTCCTTCGGCTGCTAGAGGATTTCTGACCTACTGCTGATGAACCCTGCCTGACTCTGACCTTGCTTCAAGTTTTTCTGATGTCTGGATCCTCATTGCCTGTGGCCCTCCTGTGAATGACCCTGGATTGTCCCCTGACAGCCTCTGGTTGGTGGAATTTGTCCCTGTCATCTGTTTGTCCCCTGAGCCCTCTAGTCCTCCCTTTGCCCATCCGCCTTACCCCTGGCTGGATCCCAGACCCCAGTGGACTTCCCCCTTCCTGACCCACCAGCGTCACCACTCCCTGCTTAGCCCCTTCTCACCTTTATTTTTGTAATAAAGACATTTGGTGAATCAACTCTGGTGTTGGCTGCGTTTTGGGTTCTGGCTGATTTCACTTTTCATTACACTCTGAGCCCAATGAGCCGCGGTTCTGCAGTCAGGGACTTGTGTTTGGGTGTATTAGTGGGCGATGCGCTCTGTCGGGTCAGTACTGACTGACTGCGAGCTCGGAGCAAAATCGTGACCGTAGGACCTTCTCACCTGTTCACCTGCAAACCTGTAAGTTACAAGAGGTAAAGCTTATCCTCCATCCGAACTAGAAAATCAGTAAAACATTAATTTTGACGTGTGACCTTTGCAGTGACTGAGCCCAGAAGCTTCACCTCATGTTCTGTTGTCAAACATCTTGCTGCAGGCGGATCCAACCCAGTTTCAGCTCCTCTGATCATTAAAGGAGGGACGTGTCGTTGTTCACTCGCTGACAGACACTGACAGTTTTATTGCCTGTAAGACCCCCCACCCCCAACAAGCAGGTCCCAACAATGCCTCATATTCCATCAGCCAATCAGAGAGCGGCTCACCTCATCAGACAGGAACGGTGCTAATGTCTTGTTAGCTGCGCCCCTTCAGCACGCCGCTCTGTATGATCAGCTTCTGAAAAACCTGAGCTCACCTGTTAAAACCAGACCAATAAAAGTCAAAAGGAAAGTTTGCTGAAGCTGCAACACGCCGTGACGGAGCTGCCACATAACTTAGTCATGTTACCAGAACAGATGTGTTGAAATTTGGACGAAACATTTTCATCAAACTTCACCTGAATCCAACTTGGTTGTTTCTGAATCCCCAGACTTCCAGTGACGTTTCTGGATCTCAGCAGGTGTTTGAAACATTTTGATGGAGATCTTCATCAAAACTCTAATCTGTAATCATGCCGAGGCGTTTTCCAACATGTGTTTTTCTCACTGATGCATGAGGAAAAGGTGTGGCTTTTCTGATGAAAAGCCACACCTGTTTTGACATGCCGATGGTTTTCTGACTCTGATATCAGATGATCAGATAAAAACAGGTGAACTCATCGCTGCAGCGGTTCAACCCACCTTTCTCTGTCAGTGTGAGAAAATCATCAGCCCTGAATGTTGGACGTTTATTGACATGAAAATGATTTTATTGGCGATTCTGGATTCCCAGTGAAAGTCGTGTCTCAGGCGGACGTCAGAGTTCAAGTCATTAGTTCTAACCTCAGAACAAAAGTGATGTTTACACAACCTGCAAGCTGCAGAGCAGGAAAATCCATCCCATAATATCAGAGCACACACGTGGAAAGAACAGGACTAACAGCAGACACTCACACCTCATAGTTGACTAAAGATGGACATTAGAAAGTCATCTAGAAGGAAAAACGTCCAACAAGATCAGATCATGTTTCATGAAGTTAAGTATGACGTCAAACAAACCAACAAAGTATCAAAATAAACAAAAAGATGAAAAAACTCAGTTACTCCATGAAAAACATTTTTTTAATCTCTGCATTTTTAAATATGAATAAGAAATCAACAATGAAAGTTTGATCAAAGTTTCCTGATGTTTTTGCAGCAACATGGAAGAAGCAGCATGAACTCTGATACGTCTGGACTCTTGGCAGCGCTGCCACCGTTCTGTCTGCAGAGCATCTCACCGCGTCGCAGCACTCCCATGCTGCGCTAGCATGCAGCCTTAGCATGCAGCATTAGCATGCTACGCTAGCATGCTGCCTTACAATGCAGCATTAGCATGCTATGCTAGCATGCAGCATTAGGATGCAGCATTAGCATGCAGCATTAACATGCAGTGCTAGCATGCTGCGCTAACATGCAGTGTTAACATGCAGTATTAGCATGAGGTGCTAGCATGCTGCGCTAACATGCTCCAGGCGTGTCTTTTCAGCTCCTCTCTAAACATTCAGCTTGTTTGATTTGGCATCGATGTTTAAATAAAGAATGAGGAGAATACAGGAAGAGTTTCGCCTTCCACCATGTTTTCTCTCTGTTGTTGTTTTAGCCTCTGAACATGTGAACAGATGCATAGTTTGGGTCAGAAAAACATCTGGAAACATGAAACATAGAAAAGAAATTAGCAGATCAGAAAATCCAATCTGTAATGATTAATGCAGGGGGTTCAAAGTGTAGCCTGGGGGCCATTTGTGGCCCCTGAATGATGTAAACTGGTTGATGCCTTTGTGGGTCAATTGGGAAAGAAGTGATGATTCACAAATTCAAATTTTTTAACCAAAATATCAGAAACAACAAAAATTATTCATCTTTTAAATAACCAAACTTTCTGCTTTCCCTTTCATTTCATGTAAACACTTACACTGTAAAACAGAGTCCAAAATAAATGAATAAAGTTTCACTTTCTGTCAATATGAAAGTTTTGGATGATTTATTTGTTTCTTTCCTACCAAATATGAGACTAAAATGTTTCATGTTTAGTTTGTTGAGCTGAAATTTTTTGTGAAAAACTTTTTAGTTTTTAAGACGTTTAGAAACTAAAACCTTTTTAGTTTTCAAACTCAAAACTAAAAATGTTTTAATTTTGTTCATTAATGGGATGTTTTTGACACAAAGAAAAGATGGTAACCATGGCAACACTTTTGTCAGGTTTCCCTCGTTATTAACAGCAAACAGAAACAATGAGGGACCCAAACAGGAAATGCTCGGCCTGGTTTCCTGTCAGACAGGAAGCAGCGTGTTTCCATACAGTGTATGTAAACTTTTCATCTGCGCTGAAACTAGAAGTTTACATACACTGAGTGGATCAGGAACCAGGTCAGAACCTGCAGGGAATCCGGTTCCTCCAGACACTCACATAAGATCAGCGTCTGGATCAGTTTCTGCAGAGACGCCCCCCGATACCCCCCTCCCCCCCGATACCCCCCTCCCCCCCGATACCCCTCCGCCCATAACAACCCCCCCCAAGCCTGGGAGGAACCATCAGGATGATGAGCAGTGACTCCTCTTCCTCTCCTGCTCCTGCAGATCCAGATGTTGTTTCTGCTGACAGGTTTGGCCTAATGAAGCCCCGCCCCTGAAGGAGGAAGCCCCGCCCCCTCTGTCTGAGGAGTCGTCAGGAATTCGTGGCATCCTGATGCTGTCTGCTAACGGGGCGGCTCCCAGAGAAGCAGATAAAGGAGCGGCGGTGAGTCGCTCAGCCTCGCCAGGAGAACGACGCTCTGCCGACAGAAGACTCACCTGCTCAGGTAAGACGTCTGTTTCTGTTCCTCCCTGACCTTTGAACTCTGTGTGGAGGGAAGCGCTGCAGTAAAGCCAGGATCGGAGGCGCCTCGCCCTGAGATACAAACATTCCTCCAGGATGACCTTTGACCTCACTGTTTGTTTAAGGCAGGGGTGTCCAAAGTGCGGTCTGGGAGCCATTTGATTTTGTTCATGAGAATTGATTCAAGTCTGTTCTAATCTTTTCTAACTGATACAGAGAAAATTCGCACAATAAGGCAAATTTTCAGAATCCTTTTAAAAGTTTTGGATCTACAATATTTTCCACATCATTTCCCATCAACGAATCTGGAAAAATCTTGAAGTATTGTGAGCTTGTTTTATTGTTGAGAGATGAGAAACATTTTCTTTGGCGCTCCAGTTTGTTTGAGTCGATGATTTTGATCCCATGAGACAAGAAGTTTGGAAAACTGCTGTGGTTTAACCCAGAAAAACAAACCTGCTGCTCAGGTGGGTCCAGGTCTGCAGGCTCTGAGCCGTCGGGTCAGAATGATTAAAATCTTTAGAAATCCATGGTGGCCACCAACCTGCTGCTGCTACCAGAACCAGAACCAGAGTTGTGGGTTCGATTCTGGCCGCTTGGCGCTCAGGAAGTTCGGTCCCTCAGAACCAGAACCAGCAGCTGATCCTGGTGAGGAATTAAACTCGGTGCGTTTTAACTTCAGCTTCATGTTTTCTGTCACGTTTCCATGGAGACATCTTGGTCACTGAGGCTTGGACTTTGACTAGACTGACTCCTCTCCATTTTAGCCGTTTGTAGATCTGCTGCTGGTTCTGGACGGTGATGGACCTGGAGATGACCTTTGACCCTGTCTGACAGACATTGCTGCCGTCTGTCTAGTGGGCATTGTGATGATGATGATGGTCTGGAGAGGAAGAGTCAGGATGTTTGCTTTAAGATACGAAGAGCAAACTGAAAGCAGCTGCAGGACGAGGAGCAGCTGGGTAAACGCCAAGACGGTGACCTCATGGTGACCTTACGGTGACCTCATGGTGACCTTACGGTGACCTCATGGTGACGTCATGGTGACCTAATGGTGACCTCATGGTGACCTTATGGTGACCTCATGTTGACCTTACGGTGACCTCATGGTGACCTCACGGTTACCTCATGGTGACCTCTCAGTGACCTCATGGTGACCTCATGGTGACCTCATGGTGACCTCATGGTGACCTCTCAGTGACCTCATGGTGACCTCATGGTGACCTCATGGTGACGTCATGGTAACCTAATGGTGACCTCTCGGTGACCTCATGGTGACCTCACGGTTACCTCATGGTGACCTCTCAGTGACCTCATGGTGACCTCATGGTGACCTCATGGTGATGTCATGGTGACCTCTCAGTGACCTCATGGTGACCTCATGGTGACCTCTCCTGACATCCCGTCATCCAAACCTGCAGATGGTTTTAAACGGAGCAGAAACTGAAAAATGTTCTCCTGTTTTTGTTTTTTGTCAAATTATAATGTTGAAGTTTTATTTTTGAGGCTCATGTCAGGTTCAGCCTGTTGAGGCATCTCAGTGGGATTTAACCCAGACTTTGACTAGGCCTCTCCTGAACTTTCATTTTGTTGTCTCTGAGGCTTTTTCTGTTTCTGGCTGTTGAATCATGACCTCTGACCTTAGTGAGGACGGTTGTTCTGGTGCATCGCTGATTACTCCTGAGTGTGTTGAGGTCAGAGGTCAGAACATGAAGCCTGCTTCATGCTGTCAGAAGGTTCTTGGTTCTGCAGTCAGGCAGAGATCAGAACCGGATCTGGAAACGGTGCATTGTGGGAGTTTTCAGTAAACATGTTTGTCTCCTGCTCAGGTTGTTCTGCCGCCATCTTTCCCATCAGAGAGAGGACGGTCCGTCAGTCTGCAGCGCCGCTTCCTGTCCGTCGCCATCCAGCTGCATTCAGAGGTACTGTGTCCAGAAGCCCAGCTGTGTGTGGGAAGGGGGGCAGAGGGGTAATTAACCCCAAATCAACGTTTTTCCAGATAAACTGTCTAAACATTATTCTGGGTTCTTTGTTGCTGTGTGAATTTTGACGATTTTGTGTAAATTTGTGAAGTTCTGCAATATTTTACCTAAAACTCTCAGTGCTGCCATCTTTGGGTGGAATGGTGGTACTGAATGTCACTCAGGCACGCCCCCTGGTGGTGAGTCAGCAGGACTCACCACCAGGGGGCGTGGAGGAACAACAGGACGGACAGGAACAGGAAGTGGGCGGGGCTAAGTGTACAAAGCAGGCAGGCAGCTGCTCCGGTCAAATAGTTCCTCCTTCATTTGGCTCAGACATGAGAAAAGAAAACCTCAGGTGAAGCTACGATTATGGCAGGATCACTGAGGAGCGAGCAGACCTCTGCTCCGATCAGTAAGATCAGTTTTTCTTTCCTGACAAACTTCAGGCTGCAGTCGCTTCACTGGCCCGGCTGTCGACTCCCTGCAGCTCCTCGCTTCTCTCCTTCAGTCCAACATCCCAGTACTTTCATAATTGGGACTAAAAATAACTTTTAATGGTGAAGGACGAATAACCCACCTGTTTACTTTCCTGCATAGAAGATCTCTGCAGCAAAGTTATTCACTCTGTCCTTTTTCTGTGTCACCAATAAGCAGACACACATGCCTTCTATATATTCCCATTAAAATCTCGTATATTTTCTGTGCAGTAATAATCCATCACATTGTGGGATCTACTGTACATCCCATCATCCATGTGTGGGAGTCACTTCCTGTCTTTAAGAAAGGAACAGCAGGGGGCGCTGTGGTGGCACAGGGGCAAACACGGCCCACATAAGGAGGCTTTAGTCCTGGTGGCGGTGGCCGCAGGTTCGATTCCCAGCCTGGCGACACTCACCGCATGTCTTCCCTCTCTCATTGCCCCTCATTACCTTTAAAAAAAGAAAGTAGCAACAGCTTCTTTATCGACACAAAGGGTTTTTAAAAACACGAGAACAGTGGATTATAATTCCTTTACGTTTTATGCCAGTTAAATGAAATACATTTGCCCTAACTGCCCATGAGGGGCCAAGCAGAGTTTATTGACCTTTTCTGGAAACTGCTAGCACCTGCAGCATTTTAAAGGGAACCACTATTAGCTATAAAAATAGGCCTTATTTGGAAAATATTTATTTTAGATTAAAAAACAATACAGTAAGAATACTGTGCGCTGTCTAGTTTTTATAAATTTTAATAAAATATTGTCACAGGAACGTCGCCATGTTGTTCATGCTGCAATGCATTCTGGGTAAATGACGTGTAAAGGTCCAACTGCCTGGCTCCTCCAGCCAAACAGTGATGAGTACCGTTATTAGCCTTTTTAATTTGAACCGGATCAGAAGGTAGAAATAACAAGAGGTGATGAAGAGGAGGAGCAAACAGAGGAAGAGGAAGAGTTGGCCATAGGAGCTGCTGCTGCCTTCAGGTTCATCATGAAACAATGAATGAGACTCGCGTCTGGTCACTGTGCGACCCGGTAAGTGGTTCTGTAGCTGTGAGTCCGGTTGTTGGCGAACCAACACTTTGTGGTTTCACATTCAGTACCGGTGATCTCGCTCCGTTAGTCACCCGGCTGCCTGACTGTGACATCTTTTTTTTAAATATATATATTAAGTTTTCAAAATACAACATACATAAATCATACACAAGCATATGAAGCATCTATATAACAGATTACTGTATAAGGAAAAATATACTTTTACCAATATGACATACAACAACTAAATATAAAATAAAATTAAAAGTGGCATTTTAATTTTATCTAAATAAGTGGTTTCACTGCCTGTCCAAAGGCCCGGCTGGCAGCGAGCCTCCAAATGAAGCACCTCAGTAAATTCAGCTAACCACATTTTAAACTGAGGAACTTTGTCACGTTTCCACAATTTTAATATTACTTTCTTGTAGGGCTGTTGTAAATAAATATTTTAGTAGTCGAGTAATCTATCGGTTATTCTTACGATTAATCGAGTAATCGGATAAAAAAGATTATAAAATAAAACATTGGTAAATCTGGCATAACACCGGTGTTACTATCAGATATCAATATATCTGATATCAATCTATTGTAAAATGGTCATCAGTGTCATCAGTTTTTTGGGGGGGGAACAAAGCCCGTTTGGTCCGGGTGAACAATAGAAGAAAAATGTCTTTGTAGCCTATTTGCCAGTACTTTAGCGAATATTTTGATGTCAGAATTCAATGATGAAGTAGGACGATGTGATGAAACCTCTGTTATATTAGCTTCATACATGGTATGATTCTCTTCCTGAATCAAGAGAGTGAGCGAATGGAGAAGAGGACCAATTTTCCTGGCATATCTTTTATAGAGCTCAGTTCCAAAACCATCTGGTCCTGGGGCTTTGGCACTGGGAAATGATTTGATTACATGTAGGATCTCTTCCACTGTGAGCTCTGCGTTGAGAGCCTCTTGTGTAGCATCACTCATCTTTGGGAGATTTAGATCTTTGAGCCAGTTTAAGATATTTCCTTTGCTTTGGACATGTATAGTTGTTCATAACATTCTTTAAAGGAGTAATTTATGCTTCTTGACCGTGACATCTCAGTGCGTCTTCCTGAGCGTGGCGCTAAGACTGCGGGTTAAACAGTTAAATCTACTTGAAATGTTCGCCAAGAGTAGAATTGAAGCAAACATTGTTGCTTCACCTTCTCAGACGCCACCTGAACCTGAAAATCTCCTCCCTCCTACCGTGGATCACACAGGCAGGCTTTGCTTTTATGTCTTCAGTATTTAGAATAATTTATAAAAAAAAAAAATTAAAAAAGGTCCGCTGTTTCAGTGGGCCATGCACATTGTAACACTGTATTTGTGTGGCTCAGGCTTGTGCTGGTTTTGTGTGACACATGATGCGTGTTGGAGATGCGGCTGTGGGTCAGGTGATGGTTTTGTGCGTAACCTCTGATAATATCCTGCTGGCGCCCCCTGTTGGGACGTTCTTTATTGTCATTAGAATGAAGAGTAAATATCCACCGAAATAAATGAATAAAGTATTGTAGTCAAGTTTCTCGGTCCTTTAAGAGCATCCAAATGTCAGGTTGAATTCAGAAGCACTGAGTCTATCTTTACTTTGGTTGATTAAAGTTAAAGTTGTTCAAACCTCAGAGAAATTAGAAGATTTTTAGAAAGGAGTGTCTGTGTCTAGAAGGCATTAATCAGACATTTTCCTTTCTGTAATGGGTGTTAGCTTCTTTATGTAGCTAGCTCATAGTTTCTGAAAGCTTGTGATTTAGACATGAGTCTTAGTTTTGTTAATGGCAGAGGCGCAAAAAGTGGGTATGCAACGCATAGGGGCGCAGCACCAGAGGGGGCGCCAAAACCCCGTCTGGAGGGGGCGACGCACCGATTATGTTTTCCCATCCACTTCAGCGCTCCTCACGCTCATTCACCTCTCGCACATAACGAGGTAAATGTAGCGATTTTTACACTTCACGTATCGTCGCCTCGGGGGCGATTTATGTTTTCGCATCCACCTGAATAATGTGTAGTTGCTCCACTGGTTAATGGTGTTCATAATACAGTGGCAATTGTTTGTTTTCTTTATTTCTGTGCTTCCTGTCACCATATGGACTTACTGGCTTTTCCAGGTTCCACCCATGTTTTGTTAAAAAAAAAAAACAGAGCATGAGCAAATAGTTCATTGAATCTGCAATGTGACCTGTTTAGTATCACACCCAGAAGAAACAGTGATGATGCACACTAGAAACCATACGATGGTACCAGAAACCATCATGGTTTCATCACGGGTTTTTATTTCAAGACCATGACTATGGAAATATGACTAAAATTCCAGAATATTGTCCAATTAATTACTTGACATACTTGTTTTCATTGGATGCAAAACGTACTGATTAAAATCCGGACTCGACGCTAATCGCGTGTTTTTCTTACGGCTGTCTGCCATCCGCGCCCTTTCCTTCGCATGCAGCTCCTCTGTCCAATCGGCAGTAATTCCGCTACATAAATCATAACGACTTTTTCTGTAAAACATCCAAAAGAAAGCATAGCGACAAGTAAATCTGCAGCGATTCGCTTTCCAGACGGAAGCGCGAAGAAAGGTAAGCTAGGTGTGATGCTAGCAAAGCTAGCTCTACAGTGATAGTGTTGAATTTACGATGAGAAAACAAAATGTCCAAGAACGATGTCTAGGGTTAAAATACGGAATCGTCCCGTATTGAACCGATACGGGACGATTTGTTCCGTATTTCTATAAATGTCCGATAGACTCGCCTATCACACACATGTCCACTGTCACAAAGGCTCGGGTGGACATCAATGTTTGTTATTCAGATTGGTCCGGGTGTTGCTTGGTTTGGCCTGGGAGGAGCAGGAGCGCCACCCAGTGGTGACTTCTCCATGGCACTTTCAGCAGCTGCAGAAACCCGTATCTCAGTGGAGGCGTGCAGCTGGGGTGGATGTGCGTTCCTGACTTGTGTTTTGTTAAATGTGTTAAGGTAGTTTTATTTAGTGGTTCCAGCTGTGCTGTGTGATCACGTTGGGGTCGTCGGGCCGGATGCTGCACATTGTTAGCTTTTCACCTGTGAGTACCTGTTACGTAGTTATTCAAGTATTTTGGTTTATTGCTGTTTCGTGTGCTCTTGTTAGTATCCGTACATGTTTGATGTGCCTGTTTATTGTGACCTTTAAGTTACTTCACGTCGGTGAACCTCTAGCTAACGGTCATAGCATTTGATGAACGTGTGGTCAGTTTGTGGCCAGCAGGTGTCACTGCTGCCACTTGTATTAGATAAATGTGTAAGGTGAATTAATGTGGGCTTATTTCTGTTATGACCACATCTCCAACTCCAAGCCTACCTTCTGCTGCACATCTGTACCACTGCTGTAACAACTCAGTAAAGACAGACTGCGAAGAAATCCCATCTCCTGTTTGTCGTGATCGACACAG